ATAATATGATACAAAGATGGCTAGTCAGATGGGCATCTAAACAAAGGCATGTTGAAAAGGAACAGGGGTTACTGAATTGTTGTGGGTATATATGTGTGTGGAGGGAGAAACCAACAAAATAAAGGTTGGGTTAAAATGGGCTAGATCAGGCTGAGGGCTGTGAAGAAATCCCCTCCTCCCAAAGCTTCCCTATGGGAGAGGTAGTTGGGCAGCAGCTTGGAATGCTGGTGACTCCGTCATTCTAGGGCCTCAAACTCCCAATCATTATGGCCCAGGACAGGCTTTCCTGTACATACACATACATATACACACACAGAGCAAAAGGTGAGAGCAGAAATACAATATATACAGATGCAACACATTATTATACAGAAGAAAACACAGCTGCTTCCTATGACAATTGCTAGTAAAGGTAGGAAGGAATTGCAGAAGTTAGGCTTTCCATGCTTTTTCAATCATGTTGCAGTCAATATCTGCTAATGCACACAAACAATCCCTTACTGTGATTAAACACTTCACATTCAGACCAAAACCCAAACCATTGCTTCAGCCAATAGACAGCATACGTAAGAAACTCCCACTCATCTCATCTCACAACTGCTGTAATCTTATTCACATGTAATGCCGAACAAAGGATCTTTTTAGCCATGGTTTGTTTAGCAAGCCACTGTGGCCTGGTTTACCCATAGTTTGAGTTTCCACATTACACTACACCAAAACAGTTAAACCATATTATGACTTAATAATACATGAAACCGGCCAGTCTTATTTCTTCCTATTTCTGGATTAAGTTTGGGTACTCCTTAGACAATCCTTTCAACTGTTCCAACTCAGCAAATACAATTCATTACCTACCTCTATGCGAAGTCCTATAAATGGCATATTTGTATCACACATTGCTACAACATGAGCTAAAACTTTATTGAATGCACACATTTCTCCAGACTGTTTTGGTTTTTTGGGTTCTGTGGGACACAGATCACCAGACAACTACAAAAGAGCAGAAAAATTTCAAGAAAGATGCATGTTCTTTTAATACAAAGCTGGAACAAACTCTAAATCACAAACAATAGAGGTAACAGTAGGAAATTCACCTGTTTCATATGAGCTATTCAGTAATTTATGCCCACTGATATTTAGGCTATGCTTCTGTACATGCAAATTCTATTAAACATTAATTCCTGCATAAACTTCCACATAATTGTGCTCATTTTGAGCTGAGTGTATTAAAGAAATCATTACGAGTAAGCTTGCAGCACTTAGTAGAATCAACTGCAAGCTTTTTGTAAATGCAAATGGTGCTAGAAATTTAACCTGAAAGTACACTTTTATAAAGAAAATATTAAATTGTGTTTAAAAGGTACAAAGGGCAGATGCTAAAAACATAGTCACCTTTCTTATCACAGGAGAGAATATCTTTGAGATGTCACCTCAAACACATTTTCTATCCATTTTTTCTTAGAACAAGAGAGAGACAGTTTAGCAGATTTATTCTTTGCCATCATAAGCTACCCATTTACCTGATTAAGCAAAATGTTGCACTATTTAGCCTCTTATCTTCAGCTAAGAGAAATAAATTACCTCTTATCGACTGAAACAAGTCAATGCTGGTTATCAAACCCATACCTTGCGTTTTGTGCCACTTTTTGCTTGTTTGCCACTTTTTGTGTCCAAAACCAGTTCTTCAATATTTGGTTTAAATTGTTGGAGCAAAACTGCAGTAGCAGGGTTGTCATCTCCTTCAGCATAGCTCACAGAAAGAAAGTAGTATTTGTATTCTAGTTGTGTGGGATTACTGGGAACATCAAACATTTCCACTACCTAGGATGTTGAAAAGTCACACTAAGATTGGAAATATACTCAGATTAATATATGAACTGTTGTGCTGCCATAGCAGTGAGTATCATAATGAGTGTAAATCCAGAAGAAATCCAGATGTTCTAAGCCAACTTCAGTGAAATCTAGATTTAACTTGCTCAGAGAAGATCATACTGAAATATACCAGCAAAACATCTCCTCAGGGCTTTATTACAGAATGGCTGTTTAACTTGTCACAAAGGGTACCGTACTGTTGCTTTGCTTTTGCTTTATATTTACTGGTTACATCCTTTTCCTTTCCTTTTTACCATCTCCATTTGTGCAATCTCTCTCTCTTCTCTAAATTCTCGTAGTTTTCTAGCTGTCTTCCTTCTAAGGAAGTAGCCACTTAACTTTTTGCCTGCATTTTAATGGAGCAATAACATACTATTTCATCACAGTAAGCATGATAACGGCCATCACACTGAACCTAACTTAATGCATCCTTCACATGACAACAACTGCCTATTTTTCATTCAGAGGACCATATTCTTATGAGGAGATCCCATTTACTTACAATGTAATACTGTGGAAGTCGGGTAAGCTTGATGAAGAGTTTGTGATTGGAAAGATTTCCCACAGGATGAGTAGCATGATTAACTAGCTGCAATGTTTCACTGCTTACAGTAGGCAAATGTTTTATTGATTGTTTGCAACGCTGCTGCCCAAGCCAAAACCTGAATTGAATACAAGCAAACAGGATATGCAAGAACAATAGTGCTCATTAAAACAAGGCTCATTTACTCTATAGTCCTGGTTTCAGAATATATTAGGTTTTTCTAATTTCTTCACAATTATGCAGAACAGAACCTCAGCTAAAAAGCAAAATTCTCAAAAGCTACTATACAAATTCTTGTCTTTAAGTACACCTCCAAGATAATGATGATGATATTTTTATCCCATCTTTTTTATATATAACTCAAGGTGATGAACATATCTAAGACTCCTGCTTATTTTCCCCACAACAACAACCCTGTGAGATAGGGTGGGCTGAGAGAGAGTGAATGGCCCAAAGTCACCCAAGCAGCTATCATGCCTAAGGGAGGCCTAGAACTCACATTCTCCTGGTTTCTAGGCCCTCACCCTAGCCACTATATCAAACTGGCATGCATGTATGTATGTATACACACGCACACACGAAAGAGTGAACAAATAGGTTCATTTGTTAATGAAGTCTGGCTGCAACTTCCAGAGGAGGCATGGCAAGCTAAATACATCTCTGGGACAGTGGAGATGATGACCATGGCAAACACCAAAGAACTGGTGAGTAGACTGGTTCTTTGGAATCTCTCTGGACAAGAAGAGGATGGGAAATCACCCACATGTGCTCCAGACAGCTGCTCCTCATACGGAGACCACAAGGCAGTGGTCTCCTGAGGGTTTGAGCACTAGGAGATGACAGGATCAGCCATCAAGCTCATAAACGCAGCAGAGCCTTTTAAAGGACACTAAGTTTGCTAACCTCACTTTCTGATTGCTTTCGGAAATTGCTTATCTAACCATCTTAAAGCTATTAGAGATCTTCAGAACAACAACTTTGAAAAGCCACCTGGTGAGAGCCTTTTAAAGGACACTAACTTTCTAATCACTTTCTAATCTCACTTTCTAATCACTTTCAGAAATTGCTTATCTAACCATCTTAAAGCTATTAGAGATCTTTGGAACAACTTTGAAAAGCCACCTGGTGAGTCTATCTTCATTTCTGAACAAAAGAAAAATTAACTATAAGTTTAAGAACTCAAAGAATTTGAAATAAACAGCAAAAAGCTCAATAATATTTTGAACTAAGAAAGTTATAAACGAATTAAGAGTCCAGACAAATTTGGAACACTGAAACTTTTACTACAAGATTTTGGAACTAACTATATAAAATAAACAGCTTTTCATTGGAATCAAAATTATTTTGTCTACTGTAAGTTATAACAGAGATTACAGACTTTAAGGAGTCACTTCTTGTGAGGAATGGGGAACTGATGTTCCACGGATTGCAGGAGACATTACAGACAAATAGGCAGCTGGATGCTGGATCCAGTCTGCCAAAAATTCTTTCCGGATGAAGGAGAGATCTTGAGATTACCCATATGTACTCTGAACAGCTGTTTGGGGTTTTTTTTGTGAGTTGATGGCAAAAACTGATGTTTTTGCAGTCTCTTGTGATCAGCTGGGAGTTGTGGGATTCCATTGTGCTCAGAACCATTAATGTAGCCTTTTATGGACTCAAATTTTGACCAAACCTCATTTTTTAACCACTTTGGAGTTTCTTTCTTTCTTTTTCTTATTGTTTGTTAAAGACTGAAAAACCTTCAGAACCACAACTCTTGAGTTTCTTTTCAATTTGTTTAGAAAGAAAAAAAGTTACGTTTTTAAAGTTTTGTAAGAATTTTCTTTTTTGCAGTATACAGCAAAAGGGTGATTATAGAGCTGATTCTGTAAAGTTTTTAAACGGATTAAGGGTTCAGATGAATTTGAATTAAAGAAAGACTTTGAAGTTAATTAAAAGGATCCTTTGTCCTGGGAAAAGTTCTCTTGTTTAAATTTTGAGCTGATAAGAAGCCTTTGAAGTTTGGACACTAGAAGGAAGGAAATGTTTGAGTAATGGATTAATTCGTTATATTTATTTATTTATTTATTTGCAAGACTATATCATACAATGACTCCAGGCGGCTTACAACAATCCATAAAAACATGGTTAGAAGCAAAAGTACTCTTCTGTTATTTTTGATATATAAATAATGGGTTAGTATTTCTGGTAATGTTCAATGGCCTTTTTGATTGGGACTGGATGATGGTTATTTTTGGTAATATTTATTTTTTTTTGTAATTGGGATTGGACTTTGATTATTTGAAGAGAGGGATTAGAGGAAATTTGTTTAAATGGAAATGGAGATGTAAATATTAGGTTGTTATTTCTGATAACCCTAACTGGACTTTTGCTGATTAAATAAGAAGAACTGAAGATTTAGAGATGGGCTTATAGAAAATGGGTTGAGGTATTGAATGAAGATGTATTTGGTTGTATTTTAAGAGACAGTGATAAGTTGTTAATGTTGACTATACTTGCTGGGGATCAAGGGGGAAGTTTCTTCTATTTTTTTCTTTCTTTCTTTCTTTCTTTCTTTCTTTCTTTCTTTCTTTCTTTCTTTCTTTCTTTTTCTTTTGTTTTGTTTTGTTTTGGTTTTTCTTTGCACTTTGGACTAAAGATTCCAGGCAAAAAGAAAAAAATGTAAATAAAATGATACTAAATGCTGTAATATTTGAAATATTAAAGGGGATCTTCGAAGAATGGGGCCACAAATTATTAGCCACAATAACATCAATAACAATGTCTGCTTCTACAGTTAGAAGATCTTTCTATGTTCAAAAGATGTTACTGAATGAGTGACAGATGTGAAACAAATTTTGCTTAATACAGAAACAGTAGAATATATTGGATTAAAAAAAAGTGTGGATTACAAGACAGAGAAGGCATTTAAAGTGGAAATACAAGTGACAGGCCAAGGAAATGATCCATATAAGGACTCTTTACTGGATATATAAAAGAAGCTGGCTGAATTAAATGGGAAATACAAATGATAAACAGTGTAAATAAACTGGTAAAATTATTAATTCTCATGAACAGATTTTAAAAAAATTAATAGAAAATTCTAATATGAACGTTTGTAAAAAAAACGTTACTTGGAGAAATGCTTAACTACAGTACATAAAGAAAATAAGGACATTTTAACAATTTCTTTTACTTTCAAGGACATATTGTTTGTTGCAAACAATATTGTAAAAATAGAAAATGTTTAAAATACCCTTTTTAAAACACTTTAGAATCTCCATATTGCAAATGAACTTGCTGATTAAAATAGTATCTAAGAATCCAAATAACTAACTCAAAAGAATACAAAAAACTGTTCTTCAACAAGATCAAAAGCACATGTAATCTAGTATGCTGTTTGCCAAAAGCAGCCATGACAGTAGGAATCCTGGCCTGTCATTCCCCAATAACTATTATTTGCAAGGAAAGTTAACTCTGATCCTAGAGATGGCCTTTAATCAATTTGACTAGCAAATTCTTAATAATTGTTATTGATATAACTAGTCTTTTAGTCTTTAACTGTCTATCTAAATCAGAGGCTATCAGAAAATCCTGTGATAATGATTTTCATAATGTGAAATATTTCCAGCTTTCCAGAGTCTCTATTATGAAGGGATGATTCTGGAATCTAGTATGGTAAGAGAGGAAAAAAAAATTCAGTCTCAGATTTCTTCTCCTGATCAGTTCCTGTCACCTCAGATCCTCTCACACTATACATGAAGATGTACACTGAATGACTGGCCATTTTGTTGCTCATTCCCCAAACTTGGAGGTAACTTATTTACTTCTAAACCATTCATATATGATTTAATATTAGCGCAATATAGATGCTAGACAAACCATACTTTTTATAATCTTTCACTGTGAGATCAGTATTTATTCTCTGCTTTTGGTTTCTTAACCAGTTTTGATCCATAAGAGGAAAATACTCTTATCCCAAGGCTAACAGCTTGAAACTAGCAAATGAATGCACACTTGGTAAATACTCTACCTAAGAGCTTTGCGTTTCAGATACATGTGTATGACAATATTTTAAGTGGTCATAATAGTGTTCAGGAATCAAGGAGGCTTTAGCCACAATTCATGTTGACCAATCAAGATTATGTGAAACAATTAGGAAAAGTAACTTTTGTAGATCTTTGCTAGTAAAAATCTATGCTGTACAAATAACATGCTAGGGTATATAGATCTAAGCCTTTCAAATAAACAACAATAAAGTTCCCTCTTGCACTTACTAAAAGGCAGCTAAAGTAGAGATCATAGAAAATATTCTAAAAGTGAAACTGTTTTTACAATGATGGAGAAGTGAATTTCCTGACATTGCTTTTTACTAACTTGAGTTGCTGAAGCCAAGGAATGATACGCTTCATATCATCATTGATGGACTTCTCTACGTCATCCAGGGTCTGCTGATCTACAAAGAAAAGGTATTAGTTATTACCTAAATTAAAATTATTTAGAACCCCATAAAAATTTCCTAAACAAAGAATTTATTTTCTGAAAATATTTTCCAGATATATGAACTAGAATTCCTCTCAAAATATAAATTAATGTGGGAATAATATTCATTTTGAGAGCATTCACCTAATGACTCCCATCTATCAATATTTGAAGAAACCTTTTTATATATTTTATTTTTATTCCTCAGCTAGATCTTTTTAAACAAAAGAATTCACTCAAGTATTTATTCAAATATTTTATACTTTCAATTTGTCACCACTATTTTTGTTGGATATGATGATGTGTACTAGGTCTGCAACCTGATACTATAATTTTAGACACGGAACGCTCCCCCCCCCCCTTCCCTTTTTCTGATATTATTTCAATATTATTTCTATTGATTCTTGGGAAGTTTTTTTTTTAATTAAACAAAAAAAAATAATTTAATTTTTTTTTTTTTTGAAAAATTTAT